AACAAATAATCATTTGTTTAGTGATAAAGGACTTTTTTTAGATACAAATATACCTGGCTGGTGGAGAGATTATAATGATGAGCCACAGCGAAAGAGGTATCCATGAATATCTCAGGCATGGAGGTCAGGTCTTCAATACTCAGCATCTTCAGCCCGAGGAAGTGTCTGTCTATGGCTTGTCCATGGATTGCCTAAAAGAGAAAAGTGTGTAGAACTGAGATCAATCAGATGGTGTCAGTAAAAAGTATGACTTCTTGTATGGTTGAAACCAGTCACACTCACATTATATGTGTTGTCCTTATGCGTCTGAACGGCTTTCTGCAGCAGTGCCAGCCTCTCTGTGTTCTGTAAACAGTATTTACTGCTCAGTCAGACAGCTTAAACTTTACATTTATTTTGAAACTCTGGTGGTTTAACAGTACCTGCTTAGCTGGGTCTTGCATCGCCTGGACAAATATAAGTGAGTCTAGAGTAGTTGAACGGATTGCATCTGTCCGCCCGTATTTGAACATTCGTAACGATGCACTCTCATAGGTAGCGCAGCAAATATTATACATCCTGGAATTAAAAAAAACAGCACAGAGGATATATGATGGATGGTTCTATGGGTTTAAAACATTAATATAGCTATGTAAAGATATAGTGGAGTCATGGTATCCAGAGCAGAGAATGACATCACACTTGCTCTGCCTGTGTTGCTAACGCAGCCTTGCTGTGGTTTGTTAACACATCCGGTCTGCTTCGCGTGCAGCTGAGAGCGACTGAAAGACTGTTTTTCTCATTTATGTCCGTGAATTAACAATATACTTCCACCAAACCAAAGCTGTGATTGTTGAAACAGTGGGGAGACTAACAAAGACTGTTTTGGCAAGTTTTATTTATTTTATTTTGTTTGAATTAAGTTACTATTCTACAATGATATGTGAGCTAAAATTAACATTTTTGTCCACGTCTGGTTAAACAAAAGGTCTATCTCTGTGTGGCCAAAACAAGCTTTTTTAGTGTACATATTTTGACACACGCATTTTTTTCCCAAGAATTAATGTTAGCATTGTTTTGGTCTGAGATGCATGTTCTTACCTGAAGTAGGCAAGTTGAAAAGCCATTTGCACAAAGGCGTCTGGACTCAGCTTATGTTGCTTTGGTACGTTTTTTCCAAAATGAGAGAACATAAGCACCTTCACATCTAAGTCGTGCACCATCCTGATGAAACACAGCAAAGACTGAGTTAAACTGACAACTGATGACTCTGACATCAAAACTGAGACAAGAATAACAATAATGACAGCACTAGAAGTTACATACATGTTCATATTCTGCTTGGCATTCTCTATGTCTCTCTTGACCTCAGGTAAAATGTTAAAACGCAGTTTCTGAGGCATAGCCAGGGGAACCATGGGAGAACGGACCATTTCAGTTCTCCGTCTGTTGAGAAAATACAAAACACTTCATCAATTTGAGTTCATCTGAAAATGGGGAAAGCACTCATCTAAAAATGGAAAGACACGTACATGTATTTAACGACGTAATCGATGAGAAACACAATGGGCGGACCCTCAGCGGGTGCATGTTCGTACATCAGTCCACACGTACCGTCTTCTCCAACAATGAACTGAGGACGATTTATGTACATTCAAGTTCTCAACCGTTACCACAGAACTGTTTTTTATTTTAAATGTAAAGTCGTTTGTCTCAAGCTGACCTGTAATGTCTTATCAAACCAGCGGTTGCCGCTGTTCCAACGAGCTCCTCCTCCGTGCAGCATCTGGGCAGCCACGCGGCTCGGATACATCTCATCTGACACTCGTGGCATCGGTGCGTCCAAACAAACTGTGAAGATGCTTTTCTGGATTGCACGGACTGACTCCTTATTTGTCTTATCTGAGGAGGAATAACACCAATACCTTTAAAAAAAATTCTGTAACACATTTTTTCTCAAATACTCTTCTAGATTCTTCTGTTAGATAATAAATCTAGTTGATACCGA